TGTAATACGTTTCTTTGGTACTTACCTCTACCCCTTTGCATGTGCCATTTAATTTCCCAGACATGGTTCCTTTTATCGTGAAAAAATCGTCTTCTCTTATGTGATCATGAGATTGTGTTATATGCTCTTGATAATTTTGTACTGCTGGAAAACTTAATTCTTGAAATTATTTGACTCGTATTTGAATTTTGATATTTAGAGTTACTAAGCAAGGACTTTTTAAGTAAGTGATGATAAAGCAGAGATCCAAATGAAATGAGAGGAATAAAAGCGCGGATTTAGAGGTGTTAAGAGCATCAGAGATAAGAAGACCAGAGGGGCTGGCTCAGAGAGAGTAAGAGGAACTTGGGACCAATCATGAGTTGCCTTGGGCTATGATCCTTCAGTCTGGGTTCTATTTTAGGTGTAACGGAAAACTCCTGAAAGAATTTAAGCCTAGTGTTATGACCTAACTCACACTGTAAAAGTATCACTCCGGTTGTTGTGTGGAGATCAGGATACGTGGGGCAAGAGTAGAGATGTGAGGCTCTCACTAAGCTCCAAGAGAAGGAGTACCGGTGAGAACCGAGTAGCTGCCAGAAAGTGGGACAAAGTGGTCATGTATGGGGCATTGTTGAAGAGAAAGCAAATGAAATATGCTAATCGATTGTCCTCGGGGTTTAAGGGAAATATTGGAATCAGGGGTATTCCTTGGGTAAATAGTGACATACTGAAATAGTAAATACGAAAATAGGGAAGACTGAAGAAGAGTGGGTTAGTGAGCGGCACAAGACAATCAAAGGTTTGGTTTTGGTCATTTAAAGATGAGAGACCTATCTGACATTTAGATATGTCCAGTATATTAAAGAGGAGGAAGAAATATAAGGATGGACAGAAACCTAGAAATAATAGATAAAATGTACTGTCAGCCAAACTATGACAGGACTTTTCCCCAATCCCAAATCTCAGTAACAATTTATTCACTCACTCAATCAATAAGTATTCCTTAAGCAAATACTCTGTGTCAGCTACGGTTCTAAGTGACTGAGATGTAAATCTTTCCAGTCATTACACTATCCTATTGTTGAAGAATATCGCTGTAACTATATTGGCCTTAAAAAAATAAATAATGACTGCAAACCAGCTAAGCCTCCTGTATCTCAGAAATTGTATCTCAGTTTTGGGGTGCATGGAATTTAGTTTTATATGCCTCCACTGAAAACACTTCTGTAATAAAATTGCATAAAACATTCAATTATATATTAAAAGAGAGCTCATCTCTTAATTATCTGCGACATCACAAAAATACAAATAAAGCAGTCTTAGGTAGATAATTTTTCACTGGACTGGCTATTTTGGTCTAAATAGGAGGTGAATCTTATGCAGTCTTAGTTTACTGTTAACAATAAGGTGGTCTAGGGGCACCTGGGTGGAGCAGTCGGTTAAGCGTCCGACTTCAGCCAGGTCACGATCTCGCGGTCCGTGAGTTCGAGCCCCGCGTCAGGCTCTGGGCTGATGGCTCAGAGCCTGGAGCCTGTTTCCGATTCTGTGTCTCCCTCTCTCTCTGCCCCTCCCCCGTTCATGCTCTGTCTCTCTCTGTCCCAAAAATAAATAAACGTTGAAAAAAAAAACATTAAAAAAAAAAAAAAACAATAAGGTGGTCTATTTGAATAATTGTTGCCATGTTACTGACCCATGAAAATAAGAAAATTCCAGGCACCTGGGTGCCTCAGTTGGATAAGCGTCCAACTTCGGCTAAGGTCATGATCTCATGGTTCGTGGGTTCGAGCTCCGCATTAGCCTCTGTGCTGACAGCTCTGGAGCCTGGAGCCTGCTTCGGACTCTGTGTCTCCCTCTCTCTCTGCCCCTCCCCCACTCACACTCTGTCTCTGTCTCCCTCTCTCTCTGAAAAATAAACACTGAAATTTTTTTTTTAAATATCAAAATTCAAATACGAGTCAAATAATTTCAAGAATTAAAGTCGAGAGTGGAGTTCCTAGAGTGGGTTGAGTGGCGGCACAAGACAATCAAAGGTTTGGTTTGGTCATTTAAAGATGAGAACCTATCTGACATTTGATATGTCCAGTATAGTTAAAGAGGAGGAAGAAATATGGATGGACAGAAACCTAGAATGCAGATAAAATGTACTGTCAGCCAACTATGACAGGACTTTTCCCCAATCCCAAATCTCAGTAACAATTTATTCACTCACTCAATCAAAAAAGTATTCCTTAAGCAAATAATGCTCTGTGTCCTTCTGGAGTTCTAGAGTGTACTGAGATGTAAATCTTCGAAGTCATTACACTATCTATTGTTGAAGAATATACAATGTAACTATATTGACCTTAAAAATAATATGACTGCAAACCAGCTAAGCCTCCTGTATCCATGAAATTGTATCTCAGTTTGGGGTGCATGAATTTAGTTTATATGCCTCCACTGAAAACACTTTGTAATAAAATTATAAAAACATTCAATTATATAAAAGAAGATCATCTCTTAATTATCTGCGACATCACAAAATACAAATAAAGCAGTCTTAGGTGAGATAATTTTACGGACTGGTATATTTGGTCTAAATAGGAGGTGAATCTTATGCAGTCTTAGTTTATAAACTGTTAACAATAAAAGGTGGTCTAGGGGCACCTGGGGGTGAATCGATTAGCGATCCGACTTCAGCCAGGTCACGATCTCACCGTCGTGAGTTCGAGCCAGCGTCAGGCTGGGCTGATATGGTGCCAGAGAAGCCTGATTTCGATTCTGTGTCTCCTCTCTCCGCCTCCCCTTCATGCTCTGTCTCTCATCGTCCCAAAATAAATAAAGCGTTGGAAAAAAAACAAGGAAAAGAAAAAACATTAAAAAAAAAAAACAAAAGGTGGTCTATTTGAATAATTGTTGCCATGTTACTGACCCATGAAAATAAGAAAATTCCAGGCACCTGGGTGCCTCAGTTGGATAAGCGTCCAACCCTTGACTTAAGGGTCATGATCTCATGGTTCAGAGGTTCGAGCTCGTCCATTAGCACCTCTGTGCTGACATCTGGAGCCTGGAGCCTGCCTGGGACTCTTGTGTCTCCCTCTCTCTCTGCCCCTCCCCACCCCACACACTTGTCTCTGTCTCCTCTCTCTCTGAAAAATAAACACTGAAATTTTTTTTTTAAATATCAAAATTCAAATACGAGTCAAATAATTTCAAGAATTAAGTTTTCCAGCAATGCAAAATTATCAGGAGCATGATACAATATCATGATCACATAAGAGAAGACGATTTTTTCACGATAAAAGGAACTATGTCTGGGAAATTAAATGGCACATGCAAAGGGGTAGAGGTAAGTACCAAAGAAACATATTACACAGCCTGCACGTGGAGGCAAGAGAGTCT